GGGGGCCGGGTCGCGGGGGTGGGGCGACAGCGGGGTTCCCCAGCGGGTCCCGAGGGTCATTGGGCCCGGCCGCGGGGTTCCGGGGGTCGACTCGCCACCCCGGCTTCCGCCGCGGGGTTCCGGGGGTCGACTCGCCACCCTGGCTTCCGCCGCGGGGTTCTGGGGGTCGACTCGCCACCCCGGCTTCCGCCCCGGGGTGCCCCGGGTGACAACCCTGGCGGTATATGGGGATACCCCAATCACCGGCGGGACAAAACGAGGATGTACAACGGGCCAAACATCGGGCCCGAACGGCGATGGTGCCACTTGCGCTCGCCCGACCAACATGGCCAGGCTCTGCTGGATGTCCTGTAAGATCGCCGTTTCGTGATCTTGCATCTCTACTACACCTAGCAAGACCGACCTCAGGGTCCTCACTTCATCATCCAACTTTGTTGGGTACATCTCCTCTACCTCGCTAATGCCCGCTTGTCTTGCAACCTGGCTCTTCTTCTAATCATTCTTTCTTTTTCTGCCTTAATCTCTCCTAAAGCCTGTTGTAGTTGTGCCTCGCGATCAGCAGCTCACTCTATGGCGACCTCCTCGGGAGTCAACACTAATGGCTGGCTTGCGATTACGCCAATGGACTGACTTAGGGTCTGAGCGACCATTGACCCTACGGTCCCTGAACTGCTAGCCTGGGAACTCTGCTGCACAGCAGTTGCCATGGCTGCTGAAGCTGCAGCTTCTCTTGTGAACGCCATGGCTGCTGCTGCTGCCTCTTCTCCCTTTGCTGGCGAAATAGCAACCTATCACCCTCGGGTCCTAATGCCACGTGGGCAATCGGGCATCTAGCCGATCGCAAGATCCGATCGTCCTCACTAGTGGTATCCCTATCGCTCATACGCTACAAAACTGTACACAATCTGCACTAAGACACTCTTTGATGCTTACCGCAGCGTAGTGCACATACCGAATAACTAATTAATCGGTGGCTGCGTCAGACAGTATATACATTTGGGTCCAACAGGTAAGTTCACGTTCCTACAAACGAAACTACTTTGACTTTGACTAGTTCGCAAACAGAAGCACAATGAACAGAAAACAGTTATAAACTATGCCTCTATCAAATGTTAATGGTTGTACATCTAACTAATCAAAATAAAAATAGAATCATTTGTTGGGTCTGTTTGCAGAGTGGAATCTTGCCCAAACTTATCACCTGGAATCTACCCCTCCCTCATTTCTTCCTGAATGTCTCTTGTCGTCAACGTCCCTGAGCAATCCGGACAGCGTGCGTGTCGAAACGTGTGCACACGGCCCACCGTTGTGCCCCGAGTCCTGCTGAGCTGGCCAGCCCTGCACAGTATTGATCCTCCCGTGCAGCGAGCCTTACGCCGACCGATTGGCTGACCAGGAGGCGTTTATATGGACGGCCCCCGAAGTCCTCAGGAATTCTTTAACGTCGCGGACAGGACGACGATCACAGCCAATGGAAGGTACCCCGCCGGTGCTTATTTATAGACGCCCGGTCTCGTCTGTCCCCTAGGGCTGGCCTGCCCTTCAGAACCCCTCTACAGCGCAACGAGCAGACAAAGGACAAAGCAGCAAAGCATGCGTGCTCTACTCCCGGTGGGTTGGCATGGTGGCTGTGATGCAGTAATTCGTCCAGGGCCCTTCAGATAGCACCGGCCTCATCGTCCAGATGCTCCACGTGAAGATTGACGACTCTCAAGCTTGAGAGCACACGACTCCTCACATGAGAGGACTCTCAAGACAGAACACGCATCGCAACATACCTCAAAATAGCTGCCCCCAACCACATATATTCTCACCAGATGACCCGATGTTGATTGTGATGACCAATCGCTGCTTTGGCACAACCAGCATTGCACAACCGCTCCACCTCAGCATCAATCACACACCAGATAGTTCTCATCACACTGCGAACACTCAATAATCACCGCTTAGCCTTCCTGGCGAACCCCTCTCCACCTGGGTCGCCTACTTATCTTCGCCCTCCTCACTACACACGTCCCACGGCACGGTCGCTCACCTCACACACCGTGTGCATGTACCGCATTAGACAGAAGATAAGCGCCAGATTAGCGCACCGAACCACAACTCCGATACCAAATTGCAAGGAAGATGAGCAATAGCGAACTTCAGCAATCAAACAGCATCATACACATGAGACCAGATAGTCGTGACCTCGAACCAATAGCAGAATTGCATCACGAGTTTCACCAAATAAGAGCACACCAAAAGCTCATAATTGACAATGCTGGAATAGTCTCATCATAATCAACGAAAAACCAATGTTGATATCCTATCTGGCGCTTGGCGCCCAAACTACGAATGACGGATCCTATCTAGCCTAGACTACAATGCCGCTGATGACGTCAACAGCTTCCCAAGTACGAGCAGATCTCGGCCAATGCCGCACGCGTCAAGCACCAGGTATGTCTCTCGTATCACTCACAACCTTGTTCCCCAACTCACAAATGCCACTTGCACCCAACTTGACCCAAGGACCACCATGCGCCCCATCCAGCATTCAGCAGCGCAGCTCAGCTATTTCTGCCTACTCCTTCCAGCTCACCCGTGAGCGCGTGAGCCTGGCCAGCGTGAGCGCAGCAGTGCCTGCGCCGCATGCAGCCAGTGCCCGAATGTCAAATGTGTAGGCAGGCCCTTCTCTATATCGACGTGGCCTGCAGCTGTACTGGGCCCTCGCCCAGAAGCTTCCGGTAGGCCCCACGAGGCTGAGCCTCAGTCCGCAGTAAGCAGGCCCAGGGCCTGTGGTGGTTACCAGCACCCAACTGCCCTCAGCCTTTGTTCGGTCCACTTTGTGTATCCGGCCCAGGGCCTGCCTCAGTTACATGCAATGAAAGTTAGCCTGGGCCTGGGCACTTCCAACCAACTGGCGCTGCGCAACTGCATGAATTTCCCCAGTTGCGTGGTGACCCCAAAATGGCCTGTAGGACTCGGTCGTGCCTGCCTCCACTTAGTGCGGCCGACTGTGTGAAAAATAGGCCCTGTAGGGCGTATTGAGGCCCTGTGCCTCGCACTATTCCATCGGTACCAGAACCAGTGCCGTTACCAACCCTGCACCAGTGAGAGAGATCTGCCTAAGGACCGCAACATACCTTTAGGGTTGTCATGCACACAACGGTGGGTACCACCACCAGGAGCCAATCCATTGCAAGGTCGACGGCCTTTTGCTGAGCTGTCTTGTCCTTTGCTGTGCGATTCAGCAGTGCACCCATTCGGTTTGGAATTGCATCATCGTCATGTGTCAATTTCCTGCCGCTTTGCAATGTTGTCTTCCTCAGTCGGACTGTGGCAATCATTAAGAACACAAGTACAGAGGAGGAGAAGGTGTATGTATCAATAGTATTGAATACACATCTCCAGGATCCCCTTTTAGGAATCAATAAAAAAAGCAAACAAATACTTGCAATCAGTTACGAAAACAAGAACGAAAGAACGAAAGAACGAAAGAACGAAATAACGAAACAACGAAACAACGAAAGAATGAATGAACGAAAGAACGAAACAATGAAAAAAAGAAAGAAGAAGAACAAACAAATACTTGCCAATCAGTTACGAAAACAAGAACGAAAGAACGAAAGAACGAAAGAATGAATGAACGAAAGAACGAAAGCACGGAAAAAAAAAAGCAGAAGAACAAAAGAAAGGACGAAAGAACAAAAGAAAAGTAAAAAAGAACAGAACGAAGGCACAAAAGAACGAAAGAAAGAACGAAGGAATGAAAGACCGAAATAATGAAAAAAGAAAGAAAGAAGAACAACAACAAAGAAAGGACGAAAGGAAAGAAAACGAAAAAAGAACGAAAGACCGAAAGCACGAAAGAACAGAATAATTTTGTTTCGGCCTCCTGAAAGGTCAGAGGCTCGCTATTTTCAAAAACGACAAAGGTTCTAGTGATTTAAGGTTCTGTTTATCGAAGTGATTCCTTGGCTGCAGAGAAGGAAAAAGTACTAAAAACCCTAGTTGAATCTGGCAACGTGATCCTTCAGCATGTCTTGGCATTCATGTCCCACCTTTCTCTCCTCCAGCTTGCATTACCTTCCCCATTCCACAAAGATGCTCAACCTATTCCCACCTAACCCCACCTCACCTGACCTCCGCTTCCCTTGGCAGCAAATAGACAAATGAAATATACACATATGTAGACCATTACGACCACGAGTTACCTAATCAGGACACGAGAGATGCATCATGCCCTTTTCAGTGACAGAGACAACTTGCAATGCCTACTGCATGAAAGTTACAGAGAACATCGGCGTACACTCAGCAAACGTGGCGAGCATCAGGTTAAAACTTAATAGTCAATCAGCAGCAGAAAATACAACACGTGCTCAAAATGAACCTCGGGAAGAAAGAAAAGAACATATATTACTACTAGATGACCAGTTGCAGCTTCGCTCGCAAAAACAAATGCGACAGGTGATGCATGAATGGTGGGGGCAACCTACCGATGCAAACTCTCTCTCTCTCTCTCTCTCTCTCTCTCTCTCTCTCTCTCTCTCTCTCTCTCTCTCTC